TGGAGACCCCAAACTTCTTGAGGTGATGGACTTGTTCCTCCTGTACCACACTGTTCCACAGCCACTTGTGCCTGTGAGTACTTTAAATGTGACAATGGCAGTGAAGGATCAGGACCTCAGTGACTTGCACTGTGGCTGGTAGATATAATATTGGACTGCATGACTCTGTTCATTGGCAGGCTGTTCAGGAAGGAGTCCATCCAGATTTTATCTCCACTTAAAATTCTGAGGTGAGTATTCCGGAGATCAAGGGCTTAATAGACATGCTGCTTTCACTTGCTTCTCAGTCTCCTTGTCTGCCAACATAAAGCATTTTCACAGTGATCACAGAAAGTGATCGTCAGAACTCAGTAATTATATTTATAATTATAATCTTTAACCACAACAATAATTATTAATCCAAATAGCTTGGATTTTCAAGTCCATTCTTCATAGGTAAATTTCATGTTTTGTCTTATACATTAACTTCTTAATTCTCTGAAATGCTTGCATTTCCCACAAATACTTTAATCTCACTTACACTTCTATGCTTTTGGTAGTGTTGGTTTCTTGATGGTGTACCCAAAGGACTGTTTTTTGAAAATCCATCTCCTGGTACATAAAATAGAGCCAATCCATTGTTTCTACCACATACCCTGTTGTCTTTATTGTCCACATTGATCTTTTGCTAGAATATATTCAGTTTTGCTTGTGAGGACCCAGTGCTTCACAACTACAGGCACTAAAAAAAGCTTTCTAAATGTTTAGAAGGTAGATTTTATTGTTCCCTGACCAGAAGAAAAGTATTCACACCTCTGCTTCAAAATTGTTCTAACTAGCTATGTGACCTCATGTCAGCTGACTTCACGCCAGCCAGCCCACTCTTCTACCCACACAGTTGCTAAGACTTCGTGTCTGACATTTTTAGGGACACAATCTTACAGGAAACCCCTGGTCCCTCTGGCTCATCCAAACTTTTACAATAATCCCCAAGACTTAGGTGCAGGGCTCCTGTTGCAGATGTGTACACAACTCTGCATTTCGAACAGCTGTGGTTTTGGTAGTGGTCTCTGTAGTTCCAAAGAGAAGTTTCTGTGGAGGGATGTACAGAGTTGTTTTAAGCTCATCTCTCCATTTCCTCTGGTTCTGTGTTTATGTACTCAACCAATTGAAAATAAAAAAATATATATATTTGGGGAAATTTTGCATCTGTAGTGACCAAAGACTTTTTATTGTCGAGATTATCTAACCAGTACAGTATAAAACTACAGCACTTTCACTGAACTAAGCATTGTAAGTGTATATCAAGATGTGTTAGTTATGGGATGATGTATATAGGTTCTATGCAAATGCGATATCATTGTAAGTATGAGCTTTAGCAGCCTTAGATTTTTGCTTTTTAAGCTTCCAGGGGTTCTGGACCCAATCTCATGCATGTTAAGAGATAGGTTACATTGTTTTACCCCCATATTAATTATTGAGATTTCTTTTTTAAAGTAAGGATTTTTAAATGATCACTTTGTCTTAAACTATATATATCCTCAAATATTTACAGAAATATGAAACACTGAAATTGAGACTTTGAAAACAAAGCTGAAAGTCAAATAATTGCCAAGTACAGAGTGTGTTCAGGCAACAGCAGGTATTTGGGAGGCTAGACCGTAGGCACCCTCCCAAGAGAAGACAATAGAGCTTAGAAAGGAAGGATTATTCCTACTGTTGAAGAGCTTGGTTGCCAGAAGCTGCAGTTTGTTCTTATTCAGCAGGAAATAGGGAGCCACAGGAATGCTAATGTGGTTATAGTGTTTTGGATTAATCCTATCAAAAGAGGCAAAAAAAGATACAGAAATTTCAATGCTATTCACAGGACACTGGAAGTCTGAACTGATGTCATGGGAAGAATTGCAAGGAAGTTAAGGAGACAGAAGTTATTGCAGTGGACAAAAATAGGGCAATAAACAGATGAAGAGTTACTTGTGCCTGCACATCAGGGAAGACTGTGGCCCTAGTACAAGGACTGTGGAAAACAAGAGGCCCCAGAGGGAAAGACCTTGTGGAATCCTCAATGAAATCAAATAAGGAAAAATGGCAGAAAACCATGAGCCAAGGCTAAGTAGAGTTAGAACAGGAAGTGATTGGTGTGACCTACCTGTTTCATAGGTGGGGCAGATAAGGACCTTAAACCCTTTAGTTATGATTTAGTTATGAAGGAGGAATCTCAGACTGACTTTAACAGAGAATTCGTAAAGTGGTTGATCTTGTTTTGGGAGAAATACTTCATTACTTTGAGCATCCACAGGGAGGAGGGATCTTGTCTGAAAGATATGCCTATTTTGGTCATCCAAAGGTTTTTGTTTGTTTGTTTGTTTTTGTAACATGTCTTAGATTACAGAATAAAATGAAAATGCAACAGGGAAATAGTTATTCAGAAGTGGGGAGAAAACTACAGAGCAAAGCAAAATGCTTTAGAAAACACTGGTCTTATCCCTCTGTTTGCAAATACACCCAGCTATAATTTGATAACCCAAAGCCAAGAATTAGAGAGACAAAATTAGAGGTGACATCTGTGTCTGGAATGTTTACTGAGTGATGTGATGTATTTCCCTTCTCTCTTGCTGGGTACCTCAGGTCAAGAACTGTCTTATGTAACAGTTAGATGACTGGAGGACATTGTGTCTCAAACATCTATGCATATTACGGTCCACCCATCATCCCTGACCATGGCCTTCTGAGATGGAAACTTCACTTGACATTTTAGAAACAAAGAGCTCAGAAAAAATGACAAGCACAAAAAGTTTCATGTGAGCACTTTTTGGGAAGATGCCTGGGACTAGAATTGGTGGTCATGTGCTAACTATATACTTAATTTTCAGGAAGTGACCATACTGCTTCCCAAGTGGCACTGAGAAGGGATAAGGGCTCTGGATGACCGCACTGCCAGTCTTTTTATAGTGAAGCCATTCTGCTGGGTATTTGGCTTTACTTTGTATTTCCCCAATTACTAAGATGTTGTGTTTTGTTTCACGAACAGACTGTATAGCCACTAGATGTTTCTGTGCCATGAAGAGTGCAGTCATCTCCAGCTGACCTTTTGCTGAGTTGCTCGTCATGTTACTGAGCTGTAAGAGTTGATTAGCTCTTAATACAAGTTTTATTTTACAATGCAGTTTTTAACGTATTCTATTCCAGCCTACAGCTTCTAATTTCATTTTCAAAAAGCTCTCTTCTGGAAATGAGAAATTCATCATTTTTGTGAAATTTAATTTCAGTTATACTTTGTGGATCAGGCTTCTGGTGTCACATTCAATAACATTTTGCCTAAATAACACAGTTTTTTCCTCTGTTCTCTATGTTTTCTAGTTTCAGACCTCATATTCAGGTTTATGTTCTGTTTTGAAATACCTTCATGTCTGACCTGAACCACAGGACTAGGTTTGTTGCTTTTCCTGATGACTATTCCATTTTCCTAGTGGTTGTTGAAATGGCTTTTCCTTCCCCTAATTTGCCTTAGCGCTTGTCAAAAATAAGATTGTAAAGGGGAGAGGTGATTTCTGGACTCTGAAGCTGCACAGGTCTACTTGTGCTTGTTATGGTATAATTATATTCTTCTGTAGCCTTGTGGTTGGTTTGGAAATTAGTCAATGTACATTCACCAAATTTGTGTTAATACTCAGTTTTTGCCTATTCTAAACATTATGTTTTTCCTATAAACTTTTAGGATCATTTTGTCAACATTTCTGACAAAAAGCCTTGGGCAAGTTTCGTGGGTCGAATAGACGGTGCAGATCAATAGTCACACACAGACAACAATGTTTTACAGTTCATGTACATGGTGTATCCTGTTTTATCCATGTGTGTGCACACGTGTGCATGTGTGCATGCATGTGCATATTTAGGTGGAATTTTTGACATCAGATGTCTTCCTCCGTTGGCCAGCACTTTTATTTTCTCAGGCAGGTTCTTTCCCTGAACCCAGAACTTACAATTTGTTTAGTGTAGCCAGCTGTCTTGACTGGGAATCCTCTGTCTCTGCCTTAGAAAGTAGAAAATGGGCTGTTCTTCCTGCCTAACTTTTATGTGAGTGCTATTTTCTTTTTGCAACATCCATTTCACATATGTTAGTATGGGTAATATTCCTTATGTTTTTAAGGTTGTATTATTTAATTGATTATTGTGTGTGTATTTCCAATGGAGATAATATCTATTGATCTGTCTTTCCATTCACTGCTTTGGATTTTTTTTTTAAATCAAATCTGCTGTTGAACATAAGCAAAGTCATCACATTGTTTATTTTTCAGCTCTATAATTATTATTCAATTCATTTTACTTTTTAAATGTTTGGTTCAATCTCATTATAGAAAGTACCTATTGGTTGGGTCACAGCAAGTATACTTTTCTTCAGTTCTTTGCTAAATTTTATCATCTGGGTGTACTCAGAGTCATGACTATGGCTATATTTGTGTTTTCCTGGGTATTTGTTACCTGATTTTTTGTATGTATAACTAATTCTTCCTTTTGAAAATGGAAACTTTGGAAAATTGTGGCAACTCTGAATTCTGGTTTATTTTTCTGATGATTTGCTGTTTGTAACATCTATATATTTAAACTGTTCAATGTTAGTCCCCTATGGCTTATGGATACTTACGGCATGGATAGTTTAGGGAGACTTTTAGGGAGAATTTTTTCAAACAGCTCCAGTCCACAACCTTCTTCCCACAGCTGGCTGGTGTTGACAATGTTGAGTTCTACCACTCTCAGGTGTGCCTTGACATTAGCTCCCAGGCATCCCTTCTGCAGGTCAGGAAGGTGTGGGAAGCTTATGCAGCCATTCCATGGACCCCTCTCTGCTAGTGCAGCCCTGTGTGGTAGTTTTAATGGGAGACACCCCTATAGGCTCATGTATCTAAATATCTAGTCCAGGTTGGTTGTACTACTTGGGGAGATCATGGGGCCTTTAGGAGGCACAGTCATGCTGGAGGAAGTATGCCACTGGAGAGAATTTGAGGGCTCACTATAAGCAAGCTCCTTGTTCTCTCTCTCTGCTTTCTTCACGTGGATGAAAATGGGATGAGTCAGCTTCCTGCTCCTGCCTCTGTGACATATTTTTCCTGCCATGAAGAGTGGGCATTCTCCTGTAGAACTATAAGCCCAAATCAACACTGTCTTCTATACACTTCCTTTGGTCAGGGTATTTTGTCACAGCAACAGGAAGGTGACTAATGCTCTTTGTTTAATTCATCATTGTTCCACTGCCTGTCATCACTGCATCTGCAGCCTTGGGCTGGCATGGCTGCTGAACCTCTGGAAAAAACTGTAAGTCATCTTTTGCTTTCTAATGAGTTTGTTACTGACAGTCGATAAAGCAATGATTTTTTTTTTTTTACTCATTCCCTAATTGAGACAACCAATGCCACTGACTCCATGTCTAGTTTCAGGTGGGAAAACAACTGTCCCTACTGAGTGAGTTGGGAGGAGAGATGTCTGGGCTCTGTGTAGAAAACTATAGGTTTCTACTGTCCTTGCCTGAAGCTCTACAAACATATTTTTCATAAAGATATATCTGTTAGTTATGTTGGTCAGTTTTTGACCAGTTTTAGACTTTAAAAAGATGACAATTTACTATCTTTTAACATGAGCTGTGGTGGAAGCTACATTATTTTTATAATAATATCGATTCCAGGACTACTGGAAGAATTTAAGGGAAAGAGCTGTTTCCAGCCATTTTGTCCCTGGCCACAGAGCTACCAGCACTGACATGACCTTCCCTGATACTTGTGCCATCCTGGCTGCTTCCCTGTGACTCCCTAAAATGCCATGAAATATGAGACACATGTTCTGTCTCTAGCTCCTTCTTGTGCCAAGAAAGAAAATGCTACCCCACAGGCTGTATTTCACTAATAACATGATGTTGACCATGTGGAAGATCTCTAGCTGTGGCTGAGATGAATAGTGGGTAAGAAACCCAAAACTCAAGACCTATATGGCTTTATAAAATAACAGGGAAAATTTAATAAGATGTAGTGGTTAGTAAACTCTGCCTAGAGCCTGTTCCTCAAACTATGTCTTTCCTACTGAACAAAAGCATCTCACTTGAGAGCTCCACATCACATAGGCAGATTTCTGTTCAATGGATCAAAGCCTGGCCACACTGTTTTCCTGGTTTCATGTGGATGCTAAGACCCCTTTAGTCACGATTGCTGAAAGAAATGTTTAGATTTTTCAAAATAAGTTTATTTCATACGAACTACTTTTTGTGTTAGTGACTGGCCATTATGCATTCTACATTTTGTCCTGTGGCTGGAAGTCCAGCTATACAGGAAGATGGTCATTTGATTGAATCACTCCTTCCCACAGCTGTTACTACATCACACAAATAGAACAAAGTTTAATGAATTGTCTGGTAAACCCGACTGTGAATAGAAATGTAGAAAATGTGGAAGAGGAAATCAATTCTGGTATCCTAAAAATAATCAAAAGATGGAAAGAAAGTTCAAAATTGTGGAAACGTGGCTGTTCTTTTTAGCAAACTTGACAGGCATCTTTCCTGCCTTTGTCACTGTGGTTTAGTCTTAAGAGTGAGGGAGGCAGCCGAATGGCTTTCACTCTCTGTCTCATAACCTACTTCTTACCTACAATGTCTGACACAGAGGTTTCATTTACAGAGGTTAATGTTACCTACCTCAAAACGGATAGTTTAAGCGACCAAGTTAAAGAAGTCTCAAAGTCCCCTGTCTTGGGATCCCACTCCTCCAGCTCCAGAGAAAGAACAGGCAGAAATGTGCAGAGCTTGTTAGTGGTCCTTAAAATCCTACAGCATTCTAACAGTAAAAGCCTAGGGAAAAATGTCTTGCCTGAATTATATTGTAAGCTGAAACCTGATGGATGGTAAAGGAAGCTTTTTTTATGGGGGGGGGCAGCTTTTTTATGGGGGGGGGCAGTCTCTGGGCTGTCTGCTAGACAGCATGAGCAAGAATCCTTTCTCAGCACTCATTTTTAAGGAATGATTTGTAACTACGGAGCACTCTGACACTGACATAGTGAAAACAGTGTCAAATCATTACAGACTTTGCAAGTGGAACTGTTAGTGCTGCACCTGTTCCCATTGTTTTCCCCCTCAACCCATCCACTGTTTCATTTACACTGTTGTAACTTGATCTATGTGAAGATGTGTCCTCTGTGACTTCACCCTTGGGATGACCCATGAACTTAATCTTTAACCTCTTCCTTCTCTTGGAGACGGGATGTTTTTTGTTTTGTTTTGTTTTTTTTTTTTTGACCTTTTAAGTGTCAGATATTCCTGGGTGGATCACTTTCTGGTGGACTCTGAATCCTGGGACCATCAGGATAAATACCTCAATAGATCTAGAACTTGTAGTTTTGGACTTAGCCACTTTCTATCCTCCAACATGGCCTCAGGTGGTGGTGGTGGTGGCTCAGACCCCAGGCATCTGCCCAGCCTTCAATAGTAACAGGAGCTGTGGACATGGACACAGACTCTGGCTTCAGTAGGACCCAGACATGATCCTCAGCAGCAGCCTGTCAGGCCTGGGTGTCACCATGGTCCTTGGCAGCAGTTTGTCAGGCCTTGAAGTTACTATGTGATTTGACTTTAGTAAATCTTTGTTCCCTGGAAACCCCCTTTCCAGTGGAGATTCCCATGGAGCAGCCATGTGGCCATAGCTTTGAGTAGTTGAAGTCTCAGAATAGGCATGCTGGTGAGGACACTAAGCCATTATCTCTAAACTTATTGGGAAAACTCATTACAGTGGAAACAGCATCGATCTCCTTTTAAACTTGCCTCCAACCTCCCTTTTGAATAACCTCCCAGTGCCAAAATCTTGGATGAGTAGCTGGGCCTCCCAAGGAAGAGCCCCACAGCCCCAGTACCACATGGAGATTTAATCTCCAAGATTGGTTTACCCAAGCCAAGCATCTTTATGTGAGTCTTGGCTTGGACCTTCAACACACCTGTTCTCTGCAGATGCGTGGTTGTGGATGGCCTGGCACTGGGTGAGAAGGTGAAATCTAGCAATATGGTAGCTGTAGGTTGGGACATTAATATCTCATGATTGTCTGATTTGCATAACAATGTGTGTGTGTGTGTGTGTGTGTGTGTGTGTGTCTGTGTGTGTGTGTCTGTGTGTGTCTGTGTGTGTTAGAGGTCATTTTGGGGAGTCAGTCTCTCCTTCTACCCATGAATCTGGGGACTGAAATTCAGGCCAGTTTTCCTTAGGTGACTGGAACGTTTTCTGATAGGCAATGTGGGTTTTTGTATTCCCATCCACTGTAGAACAGGGAGCCTGTTTCACTAGCTAAGCAGGAATGGGAATACCCCACTGTAACCACCACTACTCCTTCTGGAGAAACAGCCCATCATGTAGGCATTTTTTTTCTTTTCTTAAGGTGTGTGCTGGGCAGGGCAGAGGTACAGATCATTTCTTCTCATCTCAGAGTGATCATTGGTCAGGGGCATTCCATTTTTTCTCCCAGACTGTATTGCTCTGGGAAACCACCTACTTTTCTCTGGTTCTAATATAAAAATACATCTGTGAAGGATATTTTTAGCCAGAGGGTTGAATTTATGGTTTTCACTCCTGTACTCTGTTCACTATCCTGTCTCTAAAAGTCACTTTCTCACATCAATGGCGTTTTGTTTTGTTTTGTGACAGACTGAGCTTAACCAGTACTGTCTGTGTGACCATAAATTTGGAACTGTTTTTGAAGCCTGATGGTCATGTCTATATGACTGAAGACAATGGTTGCCTGTCCCTTAGAATCTATCATTAGCCAATAGTTCAACAATGAGGTATAGGACTCTGTGAGGTCTTCCCTGACTCATGACTGATTAATGGCAGGCCTAGTCTTGTTCAGGCCTAGGGGAGGCAACTTTAGCTGATGTGAGATCATGTTTGTGTCATGCACAGAATATACCACTTTCTGACCTCCACTCTGGCTTGGATAGTCTTCTTGTTATCTTGTACTTGGGGTGCTCCCAAGCTTTAGAGGGGGTGGGATAAATGTCTATCCAGTTCAGGTCTGAGCACTCAACCATCACTTCTTTCCTAAGAACTTGGAGCAGCATGAGTCTCCTCTACATTTGTCAGTGTTCACTGAAAAGAGAAGCAAAGCTAATTAAGCCTGAGAGTAACATTTGCCTATGGTTATAAACATAAATATTTAGAATGAATTTTGGAACCATGACAATTTACCAATATAAAAATAATAAGCTCCTCCATAGATCTGAAGTTCTCCTTAGCCATGGGCCATGTCTTGCCCCAAAGTCTAAATCTGAATCTTAGTCTCCCTCTTACATATTCACCAGACTAGGACTTTATTTAAGTCTATCTAACCCATACAAATTTACTTGCTAATATTTTTCCAGGATTTAAATTTTATTTCAATGTTAAGTCCCACAAATAAGACATTTTTTTTTACTATTGAATACCATCATTGTTTGTTTTGGTTTACCTGCATATTAATCTCCTTCTAACTTCTGTCTCATTACTCCTTGCATCTCATGCTTTCTTTATAGAATAGTTCTTCTATCTAAAGGTCAAATGTTTTATGAGTTTATTTGGTACTTGTGTGTTCATATCAAGTCTTGTTAGTTTTGTGTTTGTATCCCATGGCCAAAGTATATTTCACTCAATATATACTACTTCATTGATAAATTTCCCCCTCTCTTCCTCTTCTACCTCCTCTTCCTCTTCCTCTCCCTCACCCCTACACTTTGAAGATCTTATTCCAAAACAATGTGGCTTCCATTTCTGTTGAGAGCTAGCACTTAGTCTAAAATGTATTTGTTCTCAGGAGCCTGGCTTCAGAGACAAATATATTTTGCTAAGAGGTTTTGAGTTTTTGAGCCAGAGGCTGTGCTTGTCTCTATAATAAGCCATGTTGTCAGGAACAAAAGACCACTGGTCACTCCTTAACATTGATTTTGGCAGGTTCATTTCTTGGCATCTTCTTTACTAGATTTCCTTTTTATCCTTTCTCTGTGATCTGCTTCCCGTGTCTATAATTCACTTACCTTTTGTCATGGGGAGCCTGTTTGGGACCACTGGTCACTGAGCATTGAGAAAGTTTTAGTGCATTGCTGTAGGTATCCCCTTTGGATTGAGCTCACACTGCATTAACTGGTCTCCTCTGCATCAACATCTTAGAGGGCTTTGTTCACTGAATCATTTTGCATCCAGGATCTCTTCTACAGTCACACTGGCTGTCTCCTCTCTCTTGGTTTCACCCAAGATGCCTTCAGCTTTTGTTCAGTTGTCTTGCTTCTGTTCCTTTCTACTTCATCTCCCATTGCTATT